AAACGGAGTGGGGTGGGTGGGAGGCGGGAGGGAAGGAGAGAATCATGCTTTCCAAGTATGTATGAAATAAAAACTGCTTTTCTAAACAGTCCAGAGTTTTAAACTTTTAAATAGCCACAATGCCCTGATACATTTTATATAATATCAAGTATATTTACAGGAATACCTGTTTCCTTATTCTGTAGTGCAATACAAATCACTAAACATTTTCACTTCACTTGGAAAGCTGGAAATAAGGTATTGCAATCTTATTCTAATGATATTAATGAGTTTTTTAAACCAGTGCAGTGAACCAAACTAAGCAAAATCTTGAAAAATGTCTCTTCTGAACATGTGGAGTTCTGCCACACTACATAATTCAGCTCTCCTTCTCCCATTGTTTCTCTACCCTGTTTTCATCATTTACCGTGCTCATTATTTTCTGAAAGCAAGAGCCACTGTCGTTTTCTTTTTTATATATTCTGACTTTATATCAGCAGAAACCTCCTGCTATTGTGAAATATACCATCTGAATCAAACTGAACATGGAAAAAGATTCTTTGACTATTACTCTCTCAGCCTCCTCTAAAGAATACAATTAACCCAGCAGTAGATTTCTATGCACAGTACTTATGAATACTTTAATATAACTACCCTCCTCTTAGGCAGAAAACTAGATATAAAAAATGTAAGTAACTGGAGCAATTAGCAATGTAGTCATCTTAAGTAATACTTTTGACTGTATTGCTAAAATCTGCACATATTACACAAATGCTTGTTATATACTTTCCTGACCCCAATTATGCAGTTTTAGTTTTAAACTTTTAGACAAGTATTAACATGTGAGGCTATGGCTACACTACAAACATCATCAATAGTTGTATATGTTGGTTTGCCTACACATGATCTTGTCTATGCTCCTCTTGGAGTGCCTTCCTCTCTTCACCATTTAGGAACACTAGACAAGCACCAAAAATTCATTCCATTTGCATAGGCTAACAGGATATTTGAGATGCTCCCAGACACGAGTCTAAGCACTGAACTTGAGGGTTTAGCACACCTGCTACTCCAACATTTAAGATGCCACAGTATATTACTTAAATTAGTTATGAGAGATTTTATACAAAGAAGATATTGCTGCATTTAGTCCGGTTAGTCTGATTTTTAATTTTTAAAACTTCCATCAAAGACTGCTGTCAGAAAAATATTTCTTTCCACTTTTTTTTTTACACAACTGGCCAAATTCTAGACAGCCACACTTGTACAATCAGGTTCCTGCTCAGCCCAAACTAGTCTAGCTTGCTGTGATACCATATGGCAAACCAGAACAGGCAGGATACACACAGACAGGTGATTTTCCACTGCCCCTGCTTAACCCACATAGGTATTGACTTTTAGGCACATTCTGATTAGTGATCACTTATAATAAAGTACTGAAAATACATACACCCGTATTTCTGTAAAGACTTGGGGGAAATGTGTACACATTCAAAACCACTTACTTTGTAAATTATGCATCGCAAATGCTTGCCTCTGTAACACTTGTATCCAAGAATCTGAAAAGTTCAGATAGTAATTCTTTCACATAGAAAGTTTTTTTTTTAAAGAAATCCCTTTGTTAGGACAATTCTCTGAAGGAATTAGGTGAACAGTTCTAAAAAGATACTCTGTTCTTTCCAATTAGCACTCCATAAAATCCATTCGCAAGAGTTGTAATGTGAAGTCAGAAAGTCCAAACCCTCTTTTCCTTTCTAAAGGAATTAAACTTCTTTGCAGTGCAACGAGTATCCACACATTTCTGGTTCATCATTAAAAAGTGAACAGGATTTTAGCACCGTAAAAGAAAAACCTCAGTAGCTTGCACGGCTCTCTCAGATAAAGATCTCAGTTTCATGATTAACTTGGGCAGGTTCAAATATTTGCTGAGCTAGGGATTTCACACAGGGGCGGGGGAGAGTGGGGGCAGCCAGAGTCAAAGTAAAAGTTGTCATCAGCTAACAAATGGCCAATGCAGGAGTAACTTTCTCATTTTGCCAAGTAAATGAGAAGACCATTGTAACTGGCTTTAAAATAGACTCTGCAACAGGCTGTTCAATGCAGTATTAAAGTAAGCGAATGTCAAGAAAAGCACTAAGAGCAGCCAAATACAGGAAGTGGCTGAGCTAGTTCAGAAAACAAAAAATAGAATCAAAGGCTTCTTGTACAGTTCTGTATCTCTCAGAGCAGATTAGCGCAAAAGTAGCTTGTTTGCATGCACTACACCACCTCAAGTTCTGTATCTTTCAGAGCAGCCTAGCGCAAAAGTAGCTTGTTTGCATGCACTACACCACCTCCTACATTACTTACAGGACCACAACTACAGGTGTTGCTTGAAGACCCTTTGAATGAAGTTCTAAACTGTTTAGTTAGAATAAGAGAGACATGGTGGGCGAGTTAATATATTTTATTGGACCAACTTTTGTTGGTGAGACACTCTCAAGCTCTGTGCAAGCTCAAAAACTTTTCTCTCTTAACAGAAGTTGGTCCAATAAAAGACATTACCTTACCCAGCTTGCATCTTCAATATCTTGGGGCCAGCATGGCTACAACAACACTGCATAGTCAGATTAGTATCAATGTAAGCACTAGACACAAGGAATATTGATTTGTTCCAGTCACCTTCCTGCACCATGTGTCCATGAGCCATCTTTGTATCACCAAATAATGAAGAGAACACATGTCCAGAACTGGAAACAACTATGGACATAGACATGTACCTACGTGTTTATGTCCATAGTTGTTTCCAATACTGGACATGTGTTCTCTTCATTACTTGTTGATACAAAGGTGGCTCATGGACACATGGTGCAGGAAGGTGACTGGAACAAATCAATATTCCTTGTTTTAGTGTCAGATGAAGTATGCATGCTTGATGTGGGAAGGGACAGGGAATTAAAGGGTCAGTTTCCCCCTTCACCTACATGGATTCACTG